TTTAAAATACTATAATCTTTATCATTTTTTAAAATTAATTACTACTGGAGTATAGTTGATTTACAATGTTGTGTTAGTTTCTACTGTACAGCAAAGTGAATCAGTTATCCATATACATATATCCACTCTTTTTTAGATTCTATTCCCATATAGGTCATTACAGAGTATTAAGTAGAGTTCCCTGTGCTATACAGTAGGTCCTTACTAGTTATCTATTTTGTATGGTGTATATATGTCAATCCCAATCTCCCAATTTATCCCTCCCCCCGACTTCCCCCCTTGGTAAGCATAAATTTGTTTTCTATATCTGTGACTCTATTTCTGTTTTGCAAATAAGTTCATTTGTACCATTTCTTTTTAGATTCCATATATAAGCGATATCATATATTTGTCTTTCTCTGACTTATTTTACTCAGTATGACAATCTCTAGGTCCATCCACGTTGCTGCAAATGGCATTATTTTGTTCTTTTATGGCTGAGTAATATTCCATTGTATATATATAAATTTTAAAATTTTATTTATTTATGTTTGGCTGCATTGGGTCTTCATTGCTGTGCACAGGTTTTCTCTATTTGCAGCGAGCGTGGGCTAATCTTCGTTGTGGTGTGCGGGCTTCTCATTGTGGTGGCTTCTCTTGTTGCGGAGCACGGGCTCTAGGCACGCAGGCTTCAGTAGTTGTGGCATGTGGGCTCAGTAATTGTGGCTCGTGGGCTCTAGAGCACAGGCTCAGTAGTTGTGGCGCACGGGCTTAGTTGCTCCGTGGCATGTGGGATCTTCCCAGACCAGGGATTGAACCCGTGTCCCCTGCGTTGGCAGGCGGATTCTTAACCACTGCGCCACCAGGAAAGTCCTCCATTGTATATATGTACCACATCTTCTTTATCCATTCATCCGTTGATGGACATTTAGGTTGCTTCCATGTCTTGGCTATCGTACCGTGCTGCAATGAATATCGGGGTGCATGGATCTTTTTGAATTATGGCTTTCTCTGGATATATGCCCAGGAGTGGGATTGCTGGATCATATGGTAGCCCTATTTTTAGTTTTTCAAGGAAAATACAGTTATCTTTTGACTGTCCTCTCCCAGAGAACCCCTCAAGTGAGTCACCTGGTGTTTGAATTCTCCTTTCTCCTGAACGGTGGCTCACACATAAAGAAGCACTGCATATGGTGTCCCCCTGTCCCCGTCTCCTGGTCCCCACTCTACCTCAAAGCTCGGAGAAGAGCACCGTGCATTTATAAACGAAAGCAGATGCCAAGTGTATCCTGGAGTGGGGGGGGGGGTCAGTCATTGAGGGAATCATCGAGCAAGCAATTACTTTGGAAAGAATCCCCACCCAGGCTCATAGTTGGCAATTTTCTCACTGAATTGTGTGGACTCCTGCAAAAACCACATCCATGTGAGGCTCTCAGGGCTCAGCGTAAGGAGAAATCTTAAATGTACGAAACCACGTATAGTAGCACAAATCCGCAATGTACAAGCTCTCAAACAAACTGGAACGTGCTGGTAGTTGAAAACATGCCCGCACAGTAGTGGAAATCTGCTTTGGACAGCCAACAAGCATGCAGTCCAACGTACCACCGCTGAACTAAGGGATGGACTTGGAGGACTTCAGTGGGATAAATATAAACTACCAGCATTATTATCATTTTTAACTTTATCTGCAAACTCTAAGTTTAAAGAACCTATCCTATTTGAGATGGCTGTCATAACAGCCGACTTCAGAGGGACTTCCCTGGTGGTCCAGACTCCGTGCTTCCAATGCAGGGGGCGCGGGCTCGATCCCTGGTGGCGGAACTAAGATCCCACTTGCTGAGTGGTGCAAGGTATCTCTCCAGGTAGATAGTGTCAGAACTGAGTTGAATGGTAGGACACCCAGGTGGTGTTGCAGAGCTGCTTGGTGAGGGGAAAAACATACACACATTTGGTGACCAGAAGTGGAGTACTGAGTGTAAAGGAGACACACAGGAGTGCTTTTCCTTTATTTATTTATTTTTGGCCGTGCTGCACGTCCTGTGGGATCTGAGTTCCTAGACCAGGGATCGAACCCGCGCCCACTGCAGTGGGAGCGTGGACTCTCAACCACTGGACTGCCGGGGTAAGTCCCTCCTTTAAGATTTTTAAATTCACAGCCAAAAAAAAAAAAAAAAAAAAAAAACACTTAATTCAATGAAAGGTGTAGAGCATCCTTTACTTGTGTATGTTAAAGTATTTCAGTCAAGAACTTCTCCTTTGGAATAATGCAATATTAAATGTCAACAAAAGAACCAAATATCCAAAGAAGTAGCTCCCGTTTTTATGCAGCATCAAAAGAAAACTTTTTCAATGAAGTGATTTTTAAGTATGGTCCACAGCCCCAGAGGACCATAATCTACCCAAAAAACCAGCAAGTTGGGCCCTCAGTTTTTATGGACCAAGTCTCTGGAAACACTCACCAGTTCCTGCAAAATGAGCTTTTGCAGGAATGTTTGTGGCCCATGAGGAGGTCGTTAGCCAGACTTTTACCATAGAATTAAGAGTTGTATAGTATGACCTACTAAGTGCAAGTCACCAGTCACTAAGATGTGGTCTCTTATTAGTTCAAGTCCCCCTGGCTTCAGTTCCATTTTACTGAGAGTATCCTGGCTACTAGCCCAGGTCACAGCCCCGAGCACATGCGCACACAGATGCTCAGAACTTTACAAGGAGGTTTTGTTGTCAGGCTTTGTTCAAGTTGGTTGAGGTTTTTGCTACTCTTCTTGCAATTTTACCAGTATAGTTTGTAGTTATTGGATAAACCCTGCAGTTCAGATGGAATTTACTGTCCGTGCACTATTTACTAGTGATCTGATTAGATTTTAAGAAAAAATGTCTGATGGTTCAAATGAGTCATTTACACTGTTGCTCAAGCAGATGCACACGTATCTTGCATCTTGACGTTTCATGGGCAATATGCTCCCTGTGAGTTTGCTGTTCTCGAGCCGATCTTAATCAGGCTTTCTTCCCTACAACTCAAACCAAACACCTGTCGAGTCCACCGTTCTCGGTGCTCATCTTACTTGACCTGTTCACAACAGGTAACCCTGTGGACTTGCTTGCTCCTTCCGAAAATGCTGTCCACTTGACCTCCAGGCCTCTCCCTTGGTTTTCCTACCTCAGGGGCAGTTCCCTCGTAACCACTCTGTGGGTTCATCGCGCTGACCAATCTATGTTGGAGGGCTGAGTCCATCCTGCCTAGGTGACCTCACAGTTCTAGCTTCAGATGTCATGCATTGTATCTTCCCACTTCGCTTTTACAAAAGACCTAGCTACACTAGTACTTGATCCCGCTAATCAAAAGAAATCCGAAGAGAATTTTCCCTTTTACGAAAAAAGGGCGAAAATTGAAGACGGCATTCACCATTTCTTTTGCAGTGAGGCCTCAGAGGCAGCGTGCACCCCAGGCAGCTTCCCCAGAACTAGTCAGCATCTGTATGAAGCTACCGTAGCTCTGAGCTGTGTCTGAGCATCTGTGTTTATCTCAGTTTATTTTCTGTATCCATTAGCAAGATGTGTCCCTAAGGTAATTGCTTCTTTGCTTTATACCATTTCAGCTTAAGAAAGGTTTCATAGGAAGGTTCTTTCAGATGCTGGGGAAACCTGTATCTCTTAAATTCTCTAATTCTCCTCCTGACTGCTTACCTAGTTCACTTCAGTCAAGAGTCAGCATCTCAATTTAGCTTATCCAAAACTGAACTCTTGGTTTCCTATCTTCAGTCTTCCCCGTCTCAGTGTTAACTCCTTTCTTCCAGATGCTCAGGACAAAACACTTGGCATCACCCTTAAATCCATTCTTTCACCTCATTCAACACATCAGCAAGTCCTGTTCTCTAATTTCCAACCACCTCAAGTATCACCCTAGACTAAGCCACTATCATCTCTCACCTAAAAATATTATACATCATTGTTCTCTTTGCTTTTACAGTTACCCAACAGCCAAAATGACCTTTTAGGTCAGATCATGTCACCCTTCTGTTCAAAAGCCCTCTGGTGGCTTCCCTGCCTGATCTGGTTTCCTCTTTTCCTGTGTACTTACCTCAGCTTTTCCTCTTGCCATCTTGGGCCCAGCATACTGGCCACCTTTTCAACTGAACATGTCAACCACACAACTTCAGAAACTACATTTGCTCTTTGGCCTGTAATGCTCTGCCCCCAGATATCCACATAACCTCCTTCCTTGCTTTCAGCTTCCTATTCAAGTTATCACATTACAAAAGCCTTCCTCAACAATACTGTAAGAGTCCTTTCTCCACCTGTTTTACATACATGTAGCCCAGAGCTTCAAGTCCACTAGGAACGTACCTGTTTCAAACTAGGCAGCAGTGATACAAACACATGCTTTCTGAGAAGTACTCACCGCCTGTTATTCTTGCACAAAATACCTTAACCTGGCTCTAACTGGGAGTTAACTAGACAAAGATCCAAAATAAGCATTCTTAGGCAACTACCAGAACCTGCTCCCTATATGAAGCCTCTGCATTGCTATTCCTGTTCTTCCAGTCCTTTCCACGCGAGCTCACTGAATCAGGCTGCAGCTTACCTCAAGACTTCTCCCACTACGAGATTATCCTCACCTCCACAGCACTGACCACTGCCTGAAAATTCTCTTCCGATAGTATGTTTCAGAGGCAGGCAAGTGGCCTCCTGGATCACTGGTGCTCAAAACCACCCTCAGCATGAGTGCAGTTTCCAGTAGTTGGGTATGCTTTCACCAGTCACCAGGGGGCACTACCAACCTGATGAGCATTTGTCTTAGGCTCTGAACCACACCTCCGTCTCTTGAAGTCACTGGCTGCACCCTGGGTTCACATAAAAGCATCACTGGCTTGCCTTTAGACTTAACCCTTATGCTTTTAAGAGTGGAATCAGAAGGCAAGGGTGTAGGGGAATAATTTTCCCGTATTTTTCTTGTAAACGCTTATGAATTCTTCTTTGGAATCTTGGAGGCTTTTACTGTTATTTGTGAATTGCGATTTTCTCCCTGTATCCTCCCATTCAACCTGGACTGCCACAACCGGACAGAAAGTGCAAGGACTTTTTTCTTGCATCTGTATTGGAAACCTTAGCAGACAGTAACTGCTCCAGGCATGTCAAATAGATGCATTTTCATATCCTTGTTCTGATACCCACAGCCTTTTCAGATACAATTTGACTAGTACCTGCTTTTCCTCTGCCCACCAAGTATCCCACACTCCATCTGTAATTTCATCTTTAAAACAGGGGCCAGCAAACCTTTCCTGTAAAGGGCCACATGGTTATTTTAGGGCTTGCAGGCCCTTAGATCTGTCACTAATCTCTGCTCTTGCAGTGTCAGAGCCAGCCAATACATAAACAAATGGGCATGGCAGTGTTCCAATAAAACTAGACACAAAGTGAGATTTTGTACTTTTTCACATCCCGTAAGCTATTTTGAACCACTTAAAAGTGTAAGCACCACCTTAGTCACACAAAAACAGGTGGTAGGACAAGCCAGTTTGCCAACCCTGTTCCAAGAAGTTTGACACAAGTATTCCAGGAGACGTCTAGATTTCTCTAGAACTTGGCTCTACTTGCTTTGTAAATAAGCTGAGACAATACTTTGCTTCCAACTGTGTTAAGTCTCTTTTTATTCTTTTGGTAATTTCTTCCAGAGTTAACTACTTCCATTTGTAGGTGATGAAATGTGTAAGACATCCACTTCAAATGTTGGCACTGCTATGAACATGGTCTTTCCCCTTTATTTCAACTCAATTACTGTTGATTCTTGTTTATATTCCAAGTCCCGGAAGTGGTTTTCATTGCAGAAGTTATCTGAAGATGGTCTTATGCTTTCTAGTAGTGGTCTACAACCAGGTTCTAGCTTCTCCAGGAAGGCTACACAGGATGGATTCAGATATTACATATTAAACTAAGAGGCATTCTCTCAATTGAGTTTAAATGCATTTTATTTTTAGACAACCTACATGACATGTTTTTTTTCCTCAAAAACAATGCCTCCGCTCCAAACAAATCAACATCAAAACGAAGAGCTCAAGATGACATCAGTCCCATTTGTCTAAGTCCTGGTGTTGTGTGGATGAAAAGCAGCAGCCAGCCAGTTATGACGAGCAGGTGATAGATCCAAACAGCCAAATTCGTTACTGTAAAAACAAGGAAGACCCCATTAACACCTTTCCAATATGAAAATATTTAACGTTTCTAGGCTGCAAATGTATTCCCCTATTCAATCTGGGCTGCCACAAAGACAGACAGAAAGCGCAGGGATTTTTCTTTTGCATCCTAGTGCAAACCAAAAGAACAACAGCGGATTGTTCAAGGTCTATCAGTGGATGCGGAAATGTCTCATTCTGAGAAAGTTCCACTCACTTTGTTCTAACAAAAGCCTCACACATTCTTTGAGTCCCTTTAGACATTTTTGTTCATTGCTGCCCCAATCCTGTTTAGTGTAGCCTTAAATTTATCTTACTCCTAATTACAGAAGCCCCCGAAGGCTAGGATAATGAATGCCTTCATTTCTGTATTGCCTCTAGCAATTCCTTGCATAGCAGACGTTCAATTTTAGTAAAGCAACTGGCATACTGGATCAGCAGCCAACTCTAAACTGTACTTACTAAAAGCTAGTAACATCAAGGCTTTCACGACCAGCTGCCAATTATCAGTAAATAAGGGTGAACGGTTTCTTTACAGAAAGGTTTTAATACTCATGTGTATGTGCAGCAAAACAGGAGAAAGGCAGTCTGATTTCAACAAGCCATTTCTATAGGGAAGATAAACAGAGTGTTATCTCTGATCTCTAGAGCTCAGGATTTAAGCTATGCTTTGTAATGTCACCTATAAGTTTTCTGCACATAAAGACTCTAAGCCTTTCTGTACCATAAAAATCTTTTACATGTGAAACACCCTCTTTATGCCCCTAAGAGAATTAAGACCTAGAGCCTCAGTTAAAAAGGATCCATTTTAACTATCCTAGTGGCAAAACAAGGAGGATTATGCCTAGGATATCTCCATTTTTACATTAATGATTCAACCCACTTCTTTATACTTACACATTTTTCCATTTCTAGACCATCCTTAAAGAAAATCATATACGGGGTCACACCATCCTCACGGTAGTCCAGCAGAGCAACCATGCCATCTGGATTCATGTTTTCACCAATAAAGAACTTAGGAAGCAAACAAATACTCAGAATTAGATTATGCACGGATGTGTTGTATCAAAACAATAAATCAAAGGATGATTCAGAACACCGCTATTTAAGTCAAGGGATTTCAGCAACTAAAGGCTCTGATGCCTAGGAGAAAAAATGCTCACTAATCCAACTTCAGTTCACTCAAAGTACTAATAATAACAACCAAATAAAAGTACAGAGCAATCCAGGGACACGAGGCTTTCAGGAAACTTACTCAGCCCCACACATCCATTTCCAAACCCTACAAACAAGGCTTTTTACATAGTCAAGCACAGGGAACATAAAGCTAGCAACGAGAGCATATAACGTGAGAAGTTATCTTATGGCCAGAGGATGTATGAAAACCGGAAAATTAAAAAGCCAGGCTGTGTTCATTTTTTTTCTTAGGGGTAAAGGAAAGTCACTGAAGTTTCTCAATAGGACAAGCTCAGATCAGAAAGGGCTTCAGCGGCAACAAGACACACTGGAAGTGGAAAGAGAAAACTGGAAGACCACTTGGGAGTTAACAAGCAATTCAAGAGAAAGAACTGGGAAATGTATGTTATCTGAGTACAGATAAGATTCTGGAACCAGAAGACAAGATCTGGAAACATGCTTAGGAGCAGAGAAAGCTACTTCCTACAGCCTAGACTACTGGAGTTGAATCTATGAAGTATTTAAACTGTTCAAAAGACCGAGAAAATAACCACAGCTTAATTACATCAGAGATTCATCAAGCAACTCATTTTTTGCTCAGTTAAAATTGTACAATCCTTCGGTCCAAATATTTAAGTTATTTACCTGATAGTTTTTGAAATTAGCAAGGATATGCTTGATTTGTTCTGCAGCCCCTGTCATAAAAGGTTTTACTCTTTCTGGTCTCTGTTCTTCAAGCTTCCCTTTGATTCTAAAACAACATTTTATTGATAGGTTATTCAGTTCTGAGCAAAATATATTTTCATTAAGTAAAAATTACAAACTGAAACCAGCTGTCACTGAGCAAAATAACGTGGCGCACGCAATCAAGAAATTACTAGTTCACAGGAGGGATGTTTTAATCCACAAGACTGTTTCTAACTTGGAATTTCATGTCAGCTTATCTCCACAGTACTATTCTAAAAAGGTAAAACCAACCACATGCTCCAGTATGCTCACATTATTTTACTCATAGAAAAACAACCACCCTTCTGAGCTCATTAATAAAAAGACCTCTGACAAGCACGCCTGCCGCTAAAAATCTCAGTTAGCCAACCCCTAAATCCTATAGGATTTTCAGACCTCGACTGGGGTGTGCCGGTATCACTTACGACTTCATGTAATCTTTGATGTACTTCTTGTAGGCTTCTTTTGTGAAGCTGGTTTCCTGCAAGTGATGGTTCATGACAATATCCACACCAGTGATTACCGTGCTTTCGGTACCTTCGCCCTCGGGGCCTTCAGCGGAGGCATTTCCACCAATGAGCGAGTCATCAATGTTACCCTCTGTCCTACTGACCATCTGCACTAACAAAAAGTTTAGTTGCTAACACATACTCGACTTTACCATAAACGCATCCAAAAAATCTATGCTGGCACCTCATGTACCCGTCATCCTTCCACCAAACATTTAGTTCTTGTCGAATACCATGAACACGTTATGGGGGAAAAGATTCTAAAATCGATTTCCTTCAACACCTCAGCTCAACAATTCTTTGTTGACCGTAACGGAAAGGGGGTCATTTACAACCCAGTGGAAGTTTTGCGTGGGCTGTCGGGTTGAAGAGCCAAGTAGGGATAAGGCAAACGCCGAAGGACTTGGGGCTCCCAAACCGGAGACAACCTGTCCGGGACCGCCTGGGAGGAGGATGGGCGCCGAAGCGGCGGACCTATTTCCAGGCTCAGCTCCGCCTCCACTTTTCTAGAAAAACCCGAGCCCGGAAAGAGCGTCTCCTCCGCCAGGAGGCAACGGCGAGGATTGCACAACCCCGGGCGGGGGAGCGGCGGAAACCCGAGCCTACCCGGCCCCGCGCCGCGACCCCGCCGACTCACCTTCCCCTCCACCTCCAGACACAGCCCGTCCGCGACCTCCCGGATCTTGTAGATGTCGGAGAACATCTCATCATCTGTTCGGGGACATATACCCGCCGGTCACGGTACGCCCGAGGCCCGAGCGGGCGCCATTTCCCGCGCCGGCCTGCCGCACGCGGCCCCCGCCCCTCCCCGGGCGCTCGAAACCCCGACGCGCGCCCCAAGCACCGACCCTCGTCGCTCCCAGGAAGGCGCCGGCGTCCCCCAGGCCCACGACACGGCGACGGCGGCCGCCTCCCCGCCCCCACCCACATCCCCGTCCCCCGTGCGCGGCGTTAGGGGCAGTGCAGTCCCGACTCACGGCTGATGAGGTCCCGGTAGATGATCATGATGGCGACTGGAGGGAGACAACGGTGGCACTAGCTTAGGAGCACGGAGCTCAGAGCGAGCGCGGTGCAGCCAGAGCGGCGCTCGGGGGGAGGGGGGAGCGGGCGGAAAAGGCCGACTCTGCCGCTCCCCAACCTCATATAGAGGGCACGTCCCCCTACGTCATCTCCCGCTGCGCCTCCGGAAGCGCCGCAAGCGGTGACGTGGCACGCAGAGCCACGCGGTGGGCAGGGCCACTGCGCGGGCCGAGGGGAGGACAGGCGAGCATCCGGGGACTTGGCCCCGGGATACAATGCTGCGCGTTCCGCTGGGAGCGCGGGGCGGCCGAGGGAGAGGAGGCGGGGAGGGGAAGGGAGTGGAGGAGGCAGAGGGAAAATGCCTGAGGGCTTGGCGAGGCGGGGGGGATGGAGGGGGAGGAGCGCGCGGCGGAGGGAGGAGGAAGGGGGTCCCGGGCCCTTAGTGTTGAAGCGGCGCCTGGGGCCCTGCCCGTCTCGACACTTCAGGGTGGCTCTAGAAGGTGCTGGGCTTAGGTGAGGCTTAGATGAAGTCTCCTCAGGTTTCC